CTCAAAGGGAATTATACTTTGGTCCTATGAATTGGTGGTTCTGAAATACCAAACGTCACATTAACTCTCATTTTAGTTTTCTTTCTTGTTTGAGACTGGTTGCGTTTATACACTATTTTTTTTTGCTAAACGTTTATACACTATTTAGCCAATGTCAACATTTAACTAATTAATCCCTGGACTTACGAGCACATGACAATATGTAATGCTTCAGTTCTCATCACCACATCTCTTATAGGTGTTGGCTAGCTGGAAGAAGCTTACAAGGTCATAAGTGTTTCTCATACGAGAATCTCTTTTTATTTTCTCACTTTTTGATTCTTTTATATAATTTTTGGTGAGAAACCCTTGAATATACTCTTCAATGAGTATACTCTTTGTTACACTCTACGTGTTTAAAAGACATTTCATGTACCCTCTTCTCCGAGCTTTTAAGTTTTACCACTTATGCAAACGCGCTAATTGATGTTGAATGCTAATATATATTCTCTTCCTTCCTTAAAGACTGATGTTATAGGTTTTGCACATATATTAAAAAAAAGTTAATTCAACCATTTATTAATAATTTATCTCTTTTCAATAATTGTATTTGCACTATTTATCAAATGTACTCATAAATCAAGAATACGAAGACTAATAAATTGAAGAAGAATGGGCAATATATTAAAATTTGACTTCTCCAAGTTTTTTTATTGATAAATACAATTAGTTCCCTGTTAGTACCATAGAAATAATAATTTTTCTTATAAAGTACAATGTATTTATTAAAATTAAAATATCAATTTCTTAGAAACAAAAATAAAATTTAGAATATCAGTTTTCAAGAAAATGAGAAGAGTATTTGATTGCAAGAAGTAAGAAAAAGATTAGACTCGTGTAAAAAATAAGAAAATATCATCATTAAAAAAAAAAGTTAGAAAAAGATTAGATTCGTGTAAAGTAATGGACATGCAAAATGTAAGCTCATGCCTACACATATGCACAATCTATATGCATCCATAAATCTCTAATGCGTTTTATTTTTCTCAACCAAAACTATATAATTAAAATATGTCAGTATAATTGATTAAGCAATTGGGTGGAGTGTAATCTCTAATACGTTTAAACATTTACATTATGGTACATCCCTATTTACAAAATGACTACATGAATAACAAACTTTTTACTCTTTTATCTTAAAAGTAATTGTTTATGAAAAACGTTATTGATATAAATAAGACACAAAATTTATTAATAAAATTATGCATAAAAATATACTTGAAAATTGTTTATTTTATTGATTGCAGTATTTATTTCATTTTAAAATAATTGTTTATGAAAAACATTATTGATATAAATAAGACACAAAATTTATTAATAAAATTATGCATAA